ACATGTGCATGTACAATGGTGTGGCTGGCTGTATGCGCGAATGCACAGGTTCCGTGACGTTACGCACCATCGCACCTCCAAGTTTCTATTCCACCAGCTAATGACACCACCATCACTGTATCCATGACACGTTGTTAGCAACGTTGCTGGTCGCTGGTATTATTGCCAGCGTCTCAAGTCATCTACTATAACAATTTATAAATATTATTTAGCTCCGAAGACATGCTCTATTAGTCTTTTGCTCTATCAATTTGTCTGACTCATTTCGTTAGTCTCTTCATAGGAAGGGATCATAATTTTTTTTGAAAATGGCTGTATCTTTCTCAGTTCATATACAAATAAAAAGAAATGCTACGACAATTTTTACGCCAAAAGGTATTACATATGTCCCTCATTCAGCCTTCATTGTCATTCGTCTCGACCAGCTAACGGTGTCTTGCAGTGTAAACGCTTCTCATTATCTTGTCACTAGCTGTTGCAGCATTTTCTACCCTATGCCTGTTATTGATATGGTCCTGTGAACACGTTACAGCATGGTTCTATGTTTGTCATAGCATTTATTTACTACTAAAGATATAATTGAATATTTATAGTAATTTAAAGTTGTTACAACGCTATTCGCTATAAACATGTGTTTACTTGTTCTACCCTACGGGTATATCGGCATGTCTTCCATCTTGTGCTTCATCAAAAGCTAAAGAAATTTCTCATACCCCCACTGCAAGATAAAGAAATATTTGACCGTCTAAAGTTTAAACAAAAACATCATTATTTTACTTCGACAAATCACTAAAAAGGCACCGCGCAAGCCGCTTGTGCTAAAAACCTATATGAAGTGTTATGCATAGAAAGCTGGTAGGAACAACGAAACACGGCGTGTAAAGCCCTGTGACCTCAAAACGTCACGATGAGTCATGAAACTTGCAACAATGAGCTTTCGAATAATGCTTCGGAGTATACACAGTCGTACCAAGTGTTGAAATATAACATTTGTGATGGTAACAAAGAAAACAGTCGCCTTAATGACGCTATACACCTTATTGAGAAAGAAAATGGAATGAGTAATCAGCCAATTGTCTATATTCTAACCTTTTTTGGAAATTCCCAACTGCGAGTGGAACTTGCGGATGGATGATCCAACATCTGCCATAAAAATCCGCGTCGAGGGGTGAAACGTAACACTTGTTTACCTTTATACTAATGGAAATAAGAGAAAAGTGAATCCCAATGTCCACAGAAAACAATTAAAAGAAACACAGAATGCAAACATATCATAAATAACCCCAAATTACTCAATTTGCAGGAAAAAATAAGCCTACAGCGACAACACACACCGTTAATTAAAAATATGTATTATTACACCTCGTCCTTGTGAAAAATCGAGAGTTGTACAAACAAATGGACAATAAGATACGCTGTGGGTGTTTAGCAGACAATACTGCTCATGAATATTCACGAACAAGGATACTATCTCAAACGTGTGTTGAGAGACAATATGTTTACGTAAATAGTACCACTTTGTAGAGGTAATTCATTGCCTAGATCTGGTGGAACGGGAACCTTGTCATTCCACAGACTTACATGTATTAAGCCATGGCTTTGTTTGATAAGGAATGATATACAGGCTAACAAAGCCTTCATGATCCTTAGATACTACTGTATAATATTCCTTCAGTAAACGGTTATTCTTGATTATAATTCTTTAGAAAATCGTGTGTTAAGAAATCCTATCCATTATAAGGTTCTTAACATGCGACCTACTTGTCATTTTTCTAAATATTCTCCTCGAACGGCTTAAGCATTTTAAGTATAGGAGAGCCATGCTTCGGCACGAATGGTTCGTCTCGACTCGTTCGGAGTGATACCATGGCCTAATAGAAAACAGGCGTGAAACAACCACAGCGTTCTGTTTCGCCGTGTGAGTGAGGTTACCGCATGCCCAATCTCTTTCACTCCCCCAATCCTAACATCTCCAAATCCGTAATCCCCGAAAGATTGACAACGCACACGTAACTCCTCCGTTGTTGGGTGTCCATGGGCGGTGCTAATTGCTTAGCATCAGAAAGAAAAACATATACACATTCATACCCGATTTGTGAGTACCCATGAAGCTGCTAAAATATGTCAGACACATACCAATTTATGACTATAAAAGGCTCTACTGATAAAAACTCCTTATAACAGGAATTCGTGTCTACAAAAGTAAAAAGCGTGACAGCTTGCTGTAGAATTCGCATCAATATTGGAAACTGACAATCTAACTTGTGAAGAAATCAATTATACAACTGATAAAACGGTGTACTAAGAAATGTCTGCTACATTACTTGAATGGGATTATTGAATCGCCTGACTCCCGACGTGATAGGAATTCTTCTTTATATCTGTATCGAGTTTATAGAAGTTTCCCGAATTATAAATTATTTTTATTCACAGTGGGAGGTCATGTAATATTTCTTGCTGCTAGCGAAATCTGTTTTTGGTTTTGTATTTCTTCGGCTATAAAATTGGATATTAACTTTAGCGCTGTAGTCACAGCATCCATATACCATAACAGTTATTCAGAAATGCCTTCCATGAGATCGTAAAATTTTCGTAATAAATGGTTATAAATATCAGCCATGTTCCACGCTGATCTAGGGAATGAGGTCGTTAAAGTACTGAGGCGTTTCATCCGCATGTGTGTCAACTTTAAATGACTAATCTGTTTTAGGCAATCGTGTAAACAATTTGGTCATATATAAAGAAGATTAACATGTTTTATGAAGTATTAGGACCGACATTCTTTCGATAAAATACAAAAATTAGGCAAAACTGAACCTTATCTTGATGCAGTTTACAATTGCTTTTCTGATGACAACTATCGATGCATCCCATTCTTTTGTGGTCTTATATTTTGCAATGAAGTAATATTTTCCAGTCACGATCTAGTTCGTTAAATGTTATCACGGTGGGGCCTAAAAGGGAAGTCACGCGTATTTGCTTACTTTACAATAAGTGCCATCTATTATGATGTTTCATGTGAACTATTCTTAAGACAGCCAAGCTTCGAAATGCTTAAAATATGCTGTTTTAAAATGACATTGGGCCATCTCGGACGCTGGTGGAGGGGTTAGCCGTCAACAATTTTAATCGTGTAGTGTAAGGGTTAAGAACGTCGAGAGATGATCCCTGGCCACCGCAAGCGCGGATCTGCGGACGGCGAGTAAGGGTAATTAGCCGCCCGACCAGAACCGACCCGAGCGTACGGTACGGCGCGTAACGTTCCACGAGTGCCTCAAGGAGCCAATAGTCCACCACAGACAGCCCGATAGGGCTGATATTCAGCCAGGGTTGCGGGGTAAGCGCAATAAGGCACCGCGTCCTCCGGCCTAGAGCAGGAGAACGAACGTTGGAGTGTTTAGTCAGTAAGAGTCTGACACTCCCTTCCACTGTGCGGGAGAAGTTATTTGATGATTTTCCCCTCACAAAAAAAGCCCTCAACAACTATTATTAGCAATCTTAAGCACGTACTACGTAAGAAAAACGGCAAAACGATAGTATCATACTTTTTTAAACAGTCACACTTCCTTGCATAATAGCCACACTACAACTCATTTATTATTTCATAACAAACAAACGTAATTTACTCATTACTAATTAGCAAGTCTAATTAAAACATCTAAACTCGGCCGTACTAAATACCAACGTTAAGAATGTAACATTCTTACCCATTACGTAAAGATTTAATGTTATTTATAATAAAAAATTATAGCTTGAATAACCACTGACCCAAAACTCTATTTCAAGTAAATATATTATTTCAAAGTATTTACTTATATTTGAACGTATCACTGCTTAGGCGGATATCCACGTGGAGGGGCCGGGAGTAACTTATGCCTATAAAAGAACAAATTGTTTCCTTATTTGCTTTCCAGAACTATGGTTTTTTCGTTACGATATGTCATTAAGTTTATTTGCAACCAGATTGTGGACTTGGTCAACTAAATCAGTTAGAGATAGGAAATCTATGACCAGTAGTAGTTGAACGTGAATCGGAGTTAAAAAGAAATGAAATAAATCAACAAAAAATATTTCCTTTTTTTCGCTTTAGGGCTGATTTTTCAATAGTCAGATAAATGTTATCTGAGGAATAATGCTGTCACTGTCTTATACAAGCATTCTGACGCGACAGCATCATAATTATTCCCCAGATAACTTTTATCTAACCATTGGAAAATCAGTCTTTAAATCGATTAATGTCAACACTGCATTTTTGGATTGACACTTAATCCTTGAAAAAAGCTCCGTTTAACAACATGAATAACCTTAACACAAAAAAAATTGCTCAAGTTTATTGAAGCTGAAATAATTATTTAGTTCACTTTCAAACTATTGGGAAAATCATGTCATGATATAACAATTATTACTATTATAGTCATTGTTGTGTTATGTTTACAATAACGCAGCATTTTGTTCTATTGAAGTATCGAATATTGTGACTATCGTTTCGTCATACTCTCCTACTGAATAGCAGTGAATGAGTTGCATTATGTAAATATGTACTTACACAAAAAACAAAATCCTTCATCGTCTTTTACAATTGAAAATGTTGTATACTTTTCATGGTGTGCTGACGTTCAACCATTGCATTCTAATATTGTAGTTTTCAATAGGGATGTGCTTTTATTGGTAGACTAGCTACTCTCGCGCGGTTTCTCTCGCTGCTGCCTATACCACTCAGGAACACTAGCTATCTATAAGCGAAAGAATTTTGGCAATCCGACCAGCGGTTCTATAGATTACCTCCTACATACAAACTTACCAATTTTAACTCTTTATAATATTAGTATATAAAACAACTTTATGTTAAACTTTACGATGCATGGTGAAAAGTAAAATGAAACGGGATTGGAGGTCTGGTAGGAGAAGAAAGAACAAAATTATATTCCTGAAAGCTATACTATTTGCGTTGTAAGTATTTACTGTGTTTTTTAAACTAAACCTATTTTTTTTTATTGCAGGCATCGACGATTGATGGGCGACGGAAGGGCGCGTGCCTCTTCTGCCAGGAGTACTTCATGGACCTGTACCTGTTAGCTGAGCTTAAGACCATCAGCTTAAAGGTATATATGCATACTTTTCTACTTTAGAACATCTAAATACAAAGATTGTTTTGAAGAATACAAAAGAAAACAATAACAGTTGTATCGCACTGTTAAATCATGCTATCATATATCATATCATACATAATAGATAGTAGTAGTATCTGATTTCGATTGTTATGAATCTGTTTTTCTTATGTACGTTGATTACGTAAGTGATATTTTTTCCAACCTAGAAAATAGATGTTAAAAACGTAAATTTTTTTGTATTATGGTATGAGTACTATAAGTATAGCGGTAAAAGAACAGAAGTGTGTGGGGGACATGCTTCGGCACCAATGGGTGGTCTCGACCGGAGTAATGCCGCGGCCTCACGGAAAACCAGCGTAAAAGAACCACAGCTTTGTGTTTCACCATGTAAGACCCAATCCAAATCTTCAAATCAGCATTCCCTAAAAGGTCGGCATCGCACTCCTTTGTAGCGGGTGTCCATGAGAGGCGCTGATTACTTACCATGAGGTAATCTGTTTGCTGTCCTATAACATAAAAAAGAAGAGCAGACGATCGTCCAATGGTAGGAGATCAGCGATGCTCACGTAAAAAGCCTTGATTCAGTAAGAGCTATAAATACTTGCGTTGTCCGTCTCATTTAAGGATTAGGGATAGGGTCTTCGGTAAGTTTAGACTTCTACTTTACTCTTTGGTTTTTTATAAGACCGGACTAATCTGGTCGAGCTAACCCATTTGTTCAAAAAATGGGTCTTCCGCCAGAAATCAAATTTTGAATGTTTATTGTACGTATTTAAAATTTTGCCCTCCCCCTTACAGGTGACGACAGTAGACATGCAGAAGCCTCCACCAGATTTCCGTACCAACTTCGAAGCCACGCACCCGCCCATACTCATCGACAACGGTCTGGCAATACTGGAGAACGAGAAAATAGAACGGCACATCATGAAGTCGGTACCGGGAGGACACAACTTATTTGTACAGGTAAAATATTCGTATACTATGTAGCATGTAAAAATCCAATAATACATCGTTCAGTAGTTTTTGTGGTTACTGCAAACATACGGACGGACGTCACTGCAGATATGTTAGAGTTTATTTAATTTGAAATCAACAATTTGAACCAATATATTTCAAAATTCTATTCATTATTTGCCACTATTCTTGAAAAATATTTTAGTTAGTCCTTTTTAAAATATTTTTGCATGATTATATTAAAATGATTGTTGGCAGTAACTTCTACATCATATAACTTTTACAGCCAATAAAATTATTTACTCTAACCGCAGTCTTTATTTATAATTAAGTTCTGGCAGTTAATAAAAACGATTGTTTATGGGCTCAATAACTCTGTTGAAAGTGACAGCATGCAGTTTTCATTGCATTAATAATATAGTTTTAATTATTTATCAAACTATTGGAATTGATCGCTATTCGTTTAATCTGGACTGGTTACAAAATACAGTTCGATCCGCTTCACCCACCGAACCGCCACACCTGGCAAAAAAGTAACTCTAACTAGCACTTAATTTATGCTAAAGCTCTTTAGCCTCAAATAATATTTTAAACCCCGTTAAATTGACTACAAAGTGTGGTCAGCCGGTTTTTTCTTATTACTAAAACTCGTCCGAAATGTTCTTCTCATGATAATTAGGTGTCAATCTTCAGAAACTATGTTTCCCGATGAATTGTGTTCAGTAATTTGGCACTAAGCATCTTTTTTTATGGTCAATGAATTATTCATTAGTCGTACGATGTTTTGTAGAGGCTGGGCAGTATTATATAATATACTGCTACTGTTTCAACTTACACTAGAAGGGAAAAAATTGACTGCACTATTGACGAAACGAAGGACGTGGGTTAGATTCCCTCACGGGGCAACCCTGTGTGATTCACTTATTATTATAGTCCTCGACAAATCATTATTGTTCCCGATCTGGGTGGATATGTGTATGTAAAATTATATTTTATGTAACGCACACACGACACAAGAGTAAAATCAACGTCTTAGGCAACTTTAAAAATAACACGAAAATTTAGATTCTCTTTGGGATGAATCAACTGTGCCCATTATGAACTGTGCCCTATGCTTTACATATTATTCGAGTCGGGGTAGCGTTCCGCCTCCGAAACAAAATGCTATAAGTAATTCTACTAATATTGAGTTTTTATTTTGATTTCAGGATAAGGAAGTAGCCTCACTGATCGAGAACCTGTATTCCAAGCTGAAGCTGGTGCTGGTACGCAAAGACGAGCAGAAGTCGGCAGCCCTGCGTGCACATCTCGGCCGCATCGATGGTCTCCTTGAACGCAGAGGGACTAGGTAATTGTGCACTTTATAATGCAAAATATAAAGGTTACTTTTGCATAATGCCACATAGAAACTATAAAGTTTTTTATTAAGATCATAGTAGGAAACGCAAATTTTGGATTAGTATCTACGTGTGTTGTCTGTAGTCTCATCATTTATTTTTGTAAATTCTTAGGATACTTTACCGCCTTTTTGAGTGCATATGGAAAAAAATATCTTTTATCAAATTACTATTATCAATATTTTTTGAAACACGTGTCGTCGATGCGTTTACAAACCGTTTACATACCCGGAACAAAAATAACAAAAATTGTGTAGCACACATACCCCCTTATTACAAAACAAGGTTTATCTTTAGTCTAGGTTTAAACCATTGAGTCGGGTTTTGAATTTTGAATCTTATTGTTATTATAACATCTACCTTCAATTCGAAATACGGAAACTAGCTCAATGGTTTAGACCGATGGCCGATAGAGGTTTTGTTTGTTTGTCCGGTTGCGCAGCCACCGCGTCAACTGAGCAGTTACGAGTGAATTTGTTGTTGTTGTTTGCAGATTCTTAACGGGGGACACAATGTGCTGTTTCGACTGCGAGCTAATGCCAAGACTGCAGCACATCCGCGTCGCCGGCAAGTACTTCGTCGACTTCGAGATACCGGTACGTCAATATTGCCAAATCAAACTTCATTTATTTTACAGCAATTTGTGGAACACACAAATAGTACTGCATGGTTAGCGTGATTACTGGGCAATTGGCTGCGATGCAACGTGTCGAGGGTTTAATTCACGCACGGAACAACTCTTTGCGCACCCAAGACACAGGAGAAAATCCTAGTGTTGAGCAACGAGTGTTCGTTACGGTTTTCCAGCTTCCGCATCAACTGTACAATCGAATAGTTATACGTTTTACATTTTTCAATACTTCAACTACACTCTTATTATAATAAATGTTATTATTATTACTATTCCAGACGAGTTTCCGCGCCCTCTGGCGTTACATGTACCACATGTACCAGTTGGACGCGTTCACACAGAGCTGCCCCGCCGACCAGGATATCATTAACCATTATAAACTGCAGCAGGTAAGCACTATACTAAATTAAACAAAGTCTTTGTAGATCACGCTGTTTTGAAGCTATCTTTCTGCCCTTTCTCTATGGGAATAAAATTTTTACATCAGGCTTTATGAGGTCAGGCTACATACAGTTTTGTTAATCAAGACAAAAATTGTTTGCGCAAAGTTTAGCGCCAATGCGCTAACTAAGCAAACTTTGCGCATGCAAGCAAATGTCTGTAGCCAGGCCTTTATAGATAGATATATGTGTATTGTGTATTTCTACAGTGTATTGACACAAATAGCATAGTATTTATGTAATTTGGGTTCTTCTATACTTTCTTCTATCGTGTTACTATCGCCTTCAGTTATCGGCGAAAGGTTTGGTGCTGACGCCGACCCCTACACTGCAACGGAAAGAGTTACCGACGGATGTGGTACGTTCGCGGGTGTCCTAACGTGACGTCACTCACATACGTGCTATAACATTGCATTGTTTGGTCACATCCCTAAGTCATTCGGTACAAAACATACTTCCATCTCTATGTCAGACGCACGCCACATGTACAAATCGCAAACGCTACTCTAATGTTTTATCGATACTTAAGTTCACGACTGTACTTTTGGGAGCCATGACAATCGACTTCTCATCATCGATTAGAATCGTTAATCGATTCTTAAACATAACAATTCATCGCTATTAAGATATGAAACCCTAGTTTACGGGCTGCATTCATTATGTTTTCCTACTTTCAAGTGTTTTTGAAGGCATGACTGTCTCAAGAAAAATACTTATTGGCATGAAAATGTTTAAAAAGGGTTCGTAACGGAGTTCGCATGCTAAGTTTATCTAAAATCGGTCAGAAGCATCGTAAAACACCAGCAGAGAAATGATATACTTAAATAGAATATTACAATTAAAAATGGAACAGAAATTGCAATAACAGTTGCAAAAAATACCAACAAAATGGCATGAATCTAATCTATACAAAAAAAATGTTACAACCCACAACAACTCAAAATTAATTAGGTGTACTTGAAAATAGTGAAAATTTAGCTCTATGGAACCTGATTTTGTAAATATGTATTATAATCAAATCAGGTTCGCATGAAGTCAAGCCAAGCTTACATACTTCATGGTGATACCTCCGGTTTTTGTAAGCTATACTAACTGGCCTTAATGCCAATTTCTTCAAAAGTTAAAGGCATTTGAATCGATTGTTCCTTTTTTGAAAATATGAATGTGACCAATTGGAAAAATACAAGAGTTTAGGTAATACTGGGTTTATACAAAAGAAAATAAAAGGCTGTTTATGCTAGCACTGACTGCAGTTTTTTTATTAATTCTGTTTTCAAAATGATGGTTTATATGTAGAAGTATTCAACTTCAGGTTTATCGTCAGATCATCTTAACTATGTTAAAAATAAATAGCCTTAGGCTTATCTTAGTAACTTGATATTGCAACAAATATTTTAACAAATCGCATGTTCAATAGAAAACAGATTATCTACAAATAAACGTTTGATTTGATTTCACAGAATTACCTCTTATAAGAGTTTATTTCGAAGTTAAACCTTATTTATGAAATATAATTTGTAAGATTTAAAAACCTTTTTTTTAATTAGTGACTTTTTCGAATAAGCTTTCGAAAAAATAAAACAATTTTGATTAAGACTTATAATATCAAAAGAAGGTAAGTTTATACTGAGCTATATAGACGTTATGTTTGTGTAAACCCGGTATTACATTAACTGGCCTTCCAGAAATCGGTGGTTAGTGTAGCATTTTGTTTCTTGCTGTGATGGTGTGTGGAAGGTTGTGGTATTTGTTTGTTGTTTTTATCTAATCCCATAACTTACTGTATATATAATTATGAAATATTATAAGAAAATATAATCCAAACTCCCTAAACACTAAACTTGTTTAGTTGGGAGTTTTTTCGCATTAAACAAAAAATTTTTAGGTATACAAGGTATAGTCAAAAATAATGTCGAAACTAAAAAGGCTTGCTTAGAAGAAACTGCTCCTGCAATCAAACTCATCTGAATACAAAACTATTCGGATTAGTATTGGGTACAAAATTCTTCTGTAGGATAGTTTTTTCAATAATATTTAATCTAGTAGCAAACTAATTGGCTATAACTGACCCATATCATACCTTAGAAAAATATACGTACAGAATAATAACCGCTACGTATCATTACAGGCGCTGAAAATGAAGAAACACGAAGAACTCGAGACGCCGACGTTCACGACGTCAATCCCTATCGACGTGAGCGAGAACAGTAACGCCGAGTAAGCTCGCCTCGGCGCGCACATTGCCTTGGTACAATAGTAGGCGATAAACTAAATTTTCTAAATTATGCCACCATCGCCTGACCGCAAGATGTTATGCATTGATGTTGCATTCAAAATAATGTTGCCAAAATTTAACAGCGCACCAACAACTGGCCACACAACAAAGATGGCGCCCACTTTTTTATTTCCCTCCATTTTTAAATTGTTCTTCTATAGAATGTGATAACGAGAACAGACATAAGATTTTTGTTGTGTAGTCAGCTGTTCGTGGAAAGTGATGCGCGACAGAGCGTCGAGTATTTAATATTCGGTGTGATACTGATCTTTACTACACAGATACCGACTCTGACCCACGCCATTACGATATAGCGACAAAGCGCTTTGTGACATTAGTCGTCTTCAATTTTTTCTACAGGTTTTTTTTAATACATAGATACCAATGTCACGTATGATGCCAACAAACAAAGATTCATATGGAAATTATATTTTTGTATTAAATTCATGTTTTTAGTATTGGTCTATTTCATTAGATTTAAAATCTAAGAGAAAAGTATGTATGGTTTGGTGCAATCGGAATTAAGTTTTATGAATACATGTTGAGTAAATAATAGGTTATTGTGGATTTTATTTATTATAATATGGTTGGACATTATTTTGGAATAATACCATTACATTTACTTGTGACATCTTCGGCAGATCAGTTTTGTTATTTTCAAATTGTTAATTTATCGTGGCCATTAGTATTTTTAATAAAATACTTTGGAGTCATAAAATATAATAAAATGTGCATTTTTTATTATCGATGTAAGTGTATTTGGCAGAGGAGATGAACAAATCATAATGTGGATTTTTTAACCATATTGCATCAAACTTTACAAATTGCAGTGTACCTTTGTCTGTATATGAAAAAATAATAATTTTACAAGTTTTTAATTTAGTTTTAGTATAGTTTCAGTGTTCAAACACAACGAATAAATGCCCAGGACGTGTTGTTGTATTATATTCACGATAGTTGCTAAGGTTGCTTCACAGTATTCTATTTTGTTTTGTTCATTCTGGACTTCTTTGTCTATTTAGGTTTAATGAGATCAGTTTCGTCGCCATTTTGTTTTTTCATACCTCTGCCTTACTGCTAGTGTCGTTTCGAACATGTTCTACTGCAACTGATTCAATACAATCAAATCATTTTGTGAGCGCTCTTGCCTGCCTAAACTGTTACCTTAAGAAGGTATGTTTTTGTAATAAGAATGTACTTATTTTGTTTACATTTTCAGTTCCTTTATTTCATGTTTGTTTTAATTATATTTATGAACCTTCAATAGAATGTTAGGAGTGAGGCTTTAAGTTGGACCACCTATATGTAATAGACTTTTGGCTTCTCAGAGATATGTGGGTGATTTGTTTTAGTTTAAAAAACAATTGGCCCCAAAAATAGTCGTTTTAAATTTGGTGAATTCCATACATATTAGCGTAGTACACACACAAGAGACAAGGGCGAGAGACGACCAACATGTCGATTGGACAATGTATAAAATAATAATGACTAGATTATAATGTAAATGTTAAGGAATAAACCTGGATAATAATATTTTTTTTCGTTTTGTTTCATTTATTTTTTTCTTTCTAATTATATCCTTTTCTTTTTTTTATCTGTTCGTTACTTATACTAATATAAGGAATGTGCTCAAATATTGCCAAATTCTATATATTCTTGCTTCTGTGCCTTGCTTCTTTTAGTACAACGCTCGTGACTACTTGCTATATGTGTATATCAATGTGATAAAAGTAGCTTTTACACAATAAATATTTATAACAAAATAAAATATAGTTTCTTTATTTCATTATTAAAATCTGTAAAAATACAATTAAAAAAAACATACAACAGACCAAATTCTCGATAACTTTACTACGATTTTTCTATCTCGATTTTCTTCTTCATCCATTCATTTTTATAAACATCGCTGGTAAGTACGGAGCTCAAGAATGAATGAGTTATAAACGCAGTTATACCCCATATCTTATAATCTTCGATTACAAACACCGGCAGAATGAATCCATTACTGAATTGTGTGTAATATTGGTTCTTGGGTTCACACAACATCTCAATAGGGATAGTGAATACTTCTGCAACTTCGCGAGAATTAATGGTCAAATCATCTTGTGCCAGACCTTCTATAGATCCAATGACAGGAGTGATCAATATCTTGTTATTGCGACCTGGAAGCGGTGGCCCATGACCCCAGACATCTATTTTTTCAGGACTTAAACCGATTTCTTTATACGTTTCCCTGAGAGCTGTTTGTACAGGAGATTCATCTTGGACTATTGGCCCACCTGGAAATGATATCTCTCCTTTGATAGTCCTAAGGTTCGTGGCCCGAACTGTATAAAGTATCGACGGTTTATCTCCTACTTTGCATACTGGTACTAACATCGCTGCGGCATCACTTGGCAGTTTGCCGTACCTTGGTGTCGCTAAACGTTTGAAATTAGTCATACATCGCTCTCGAGCAGCCAGAGAAAATATGTTTTGTATACCAAATGATATTCGCGCCATTTTCAAAGTGTCATATCACAAGTACCTACCCAAAATTACTATAATTTTTTATTCCAATGTCTCTGTTAATTTTTAAATCCAAAGTTTCTGTATATAGTTTCGATATTTCGTTTTGTTACATATCGATAATAAAAGTCAGATACTGACATTGACAGTTTTCTTGCAATTTTCATTATTATATAGCTAATGATGCGTTGTAACGGCCGACATATAAGCAGTTCTGTATCAAAATTTAATCTATCAAACACGCTTAAAAAAATTACTCTACTTCTACGTTCCTTTACGCGTAAAGAATACTAATAAAGCGTTGTACAGTCTATGGACATATTTTCGCGCAACAGCTGACTGGCAAACGTCAAATAAATTGACAATACCGTGATGTCACAATGTTAGTTCTAACCTTTGCTCCTTGAATATTATCTTCTATTATGAAATAAAAATACAGGCGAAGTAACTGTTTCATGAATACAAGCAACAACAATCAAGGTTTTGACGTTTGTTGGACTTTACACTCACTGAAAATTTATATATATTTGAATGAAGTCTGTTCACAAAGTTATTAAGTTAAGCATGTCTCTAAGTCCAGAAATCCTGTTATCTAGTGCCGCAAGAGAAAGGTGTATTTCTAACATAGCCGAATTACCGTCTTTTAATGTAAGAGGTGGAAACCCGAAACATACTGCATCTGTATTAGTTCCTGTGTGTGTGGATAACAGTGAGGTCTGTCTTTTGTATACATTGAGGTCGAGTAATCTTAGCTCACACAGTGGTCAAGTCTCATTTCCTGGTGGGAAAATTGACAAAGACGAGACTGTGTACGATGCTGCGCTTCGGGAAGCGGAAGAAGAAATAGGTGTGCTTGCCAAAGACATTAATATTTGGACCAAAATGAACCAAGTTCAAGGTCGAGATGGGAACATGTTAATTACACCTGTTGTGGGCGAGATTATGAATTTTGATATGAAGAAGTTGACTCCAAATGAAGGTGAAGTAGCTGATATATTTACAATTCCAATGAATGTTTTCTGTGACACAAATAATCATGGTTGCTATAAATACAATAATTATGCCATACCAGTTTACAATGGCGGCAAACACACAGTTTGGGGTATAACAGGAATAATCACACATATGTTCTTGAATTCCTTCTTACCAAAAGAACTTTACTGTCCAGACTTTTTACGAAAAGAATATAAACTCCAGGAATTGATGCCTGCAAAACTATAGGCAAGCTGTAAAATTAATAGACAATTTCAAATATTTTTTTATTCTATATACACATGGGTCTCGAGGTATTGTAATAAATCCTATATTGTGTAATCTAATAAGCTTTTAGAATAATTGTCAGAGTACATAATTATAATATTTAGTAGGAACCTACTTTTATGTGAGAAGTACATTTCATCATAATATGTGGATGAGGCACTGGTATAGCATAAGCTTGTAACAATTTAGAAACTTAAAAGCTAATTGATTATGTTTTTAGTCTAGACTTACACAAAATGAGTAACTGTAATGTGTGATTATTTCATCCCAATTGCCCAAAAAATGCAGTGTTTTAAACTATCATTTAGTATCTATTTATTTCAACAATGAAATGTAAACTTCTTCGTAGTTTCAAACTTACATTCAAAATATTGTCTTGTTATGTTGCAATATATTTAAATGTTTTAGTCATTGTTTTAATCCTTGTTACTTAATCTAAATCATATTGTTATTTTTCTACATTATTTTATATTATGACGGGCAGGACCCAGTTTTTACAAGTGGCTTTTGTAATCAGTATTTTGTTAATGTTTCCATGCAAGTCAATGCTTTATCTTAATTAGTAGAATCTTTACTTAATTTATCAATTCTAACTTTTAACCAAGCATTGGAGATTCTGGTAGTTCATGTAAAATTGTTTTTTTTTACTTTTACAATATTCAACTCATTTGCACTTGAAATATTTGATAGTAGATATTTACTTTGTTGCTATGTTGAGCTATGATTACAGGTAAAATATAAATATTAGTTCATTTAATATCAGATTGTCTGTGAACAGAGTATGTATAAATCTCATTGCAGACTATTCCACTATCAGCTTGTGATAAGAGTCTGTTGTATATTAGAAAATATATCAATCTCTGTGGTGATAAGTTATTTATTAAATAAGTACACATAGTGTATTATGTCAGACATATTTATATTATAATAAATATATGAACATATCAAGTGCTGCTTTTAATGATTCCTGTGTTATCATATCTTGATACTGTATTGATTGGTGCATCATACCACCTATTATTGAAAAGATAAGCTTGATATTTAAGGCCCTATGAAAAACACTGAATTTAGGAAGCAGAGATAGATCAATTGTTTACTTCAGGTGCATTTTCTACGCCGGGGTTGCGAGGTAAGCGCACTTAGACACCGCGGCCTCGGCCTAGAGCAGGAGAAGGAACGGGCTGCGTTTTTAGTCAGTAAGAATCTGGCACTAAATGCTTCAGCACGAATGGGCCGGCTTGACCGTAGTAATACCACGACCTCACAGAATTCCGGTGTGAAGCAACCACGGCGGTGTTTTTCGCCATGTGTTTAAGGTTAGCCGAGATACAATCCTTACCTTCCCTAATCCCTCCCCAATCCTTGAATACCCAAAAACCCCTTATCCCTATATTGCAGACAACGCACTTGCAATTCCTCTGGTGTTGCGGGTGTCCATGGCATGCTCGTTCGTATAACATATAAAAGTTACGAATCTCTTCATGAATGCTTACTTCTCCTCTGAATGGGTCCCTTTTCTATGCTTCATTTCTATTCCTAATATTTCACACTAGTTTCACATTAGTCCCAGTAGACAGAAGTCTATTTATTGTTCCAAACTACAATCTACCTAGATTCCTACCTACCAAATTGATGATGATACCTACCTATTACATATTTATTAAACTTTCGCGTTTATAATTTTGGAAGGAGTATGTAAGTGTGAGCTGTGCCTGAAAGTATTTGTATATTTGCTGCCTGTCAAGTATTTTAACGTAAGTAAGTACCTACCTAACTCCTGGCATAGAATAGCAATTTGCTATTCTATTTATTTTCACACTACATGAGAAGTAATGGGCAATTAATTATGAAGGATGGATAGTGTGGGGCTTAAAAAATGGTTTGGTGATTCATTTATACATATACCTATAGATTTTGTCACAAGTATGGCTATTCTTCAAACACCAACTATAAGACAATTTTAAAACGAGAAGGAATCTTTGGTTGTTGGATATTGCTATGAATATCTCGTAAGGGGCCGACTCCTTGCAATTTTGTAATAGCAATTTATTATCCACTAACCACGATCTCACAAACATGTATGTAAAAAGAAGGTATCGTGGTACCTACCAATAAACACCATATTTCTGTAAGTACTATGTTTACACTGCTCCAACTGAAACCTCCTTGTTATCTATGGATTAAAATAAGCAGAAAATTAAAATCAAAAAAAGCAGAGTATTATAAGAAGTATACCTATGGGATATACGGTGTTATTATAGGCCTCCTAACATACAGAATTTAAATATATTTTGCTCAGTAATTGAAGATGTATTACAGAAAACGTGTTCTAGTAATAAGTATACAATAGTATGTGGCGATTTTAATGTTGATCTCTTAGAAAACAACTCTTATTGTACAAACTTATTAGGTCTTTTTAAATCTTTTGGTCTGTCTAATATATTCCTTGAGCCTACCCGAGTAACATCCACCTCGGCAACTTGTATAGATAATATTTTTTGTAACTGTGATTATTTACACAGTGAAATTGTAAACAGATTACCATCTGATCACAGTGGGCTAACAGTCAACTTTAATACTTTTAAAACTTTGGCAACTAAGGAAATTATATTCAGACAGACAACAAACAAAAAAATTGAGTCATTAAATAACAATTTAAAACATAAATTATGCAGCCCATTACAAGACAATGAATGCCCGAGTGAGATCTATGCTAACTTATTATCCATCATAAAAATACAGTTCGACAAAATGTTCCCTTTAAAACGTAAAAATATCCAGTGTAAATTTTTATTCTGTGACTGGGCTACACCAGGCATTCGTATAAGTAGAGAAAAGTTATTTGAGCTATATGGTATGAAACCATTTAATAAAAGTGAGGCTTTTCGTAGGCATGTCTCCAAATATTCAAAAATATTTAAATTAGTTTGTAAGCATGCTAAATCGCTCTATATTAGCAGTAAAATCCGGACCGCGGAAAATAAAATAAAAGCTACCTGGAGTATAATTAATAATGAAACAGGTAGAAACAAATCTAATAAGACAGAATTTAATTTAAAAACCGAAAAGGGATTTACTAGTACAAATTCATTAGTTGCCCAGGAATTCGAAAATTTCTTTAAAAATATTCCTCTCAAAACTACGGAAACGTTGCAGTCATCTCCAGCACTTGCGGTCGAGCTTCTCAGAAGTAACGTCAAAGAATGTCCTGCGGACTTTAGGTTTAAACATACAAACCCCCAGGCAGTAATAAAGGCGTTTAAAGATATCAAAGTAAAGTCCAGTGAAGATCTCTGGGGAATGTCTGTTAGAGTGTGCAGGTCTTTTATAGAGACTATAGCGCCTTACTTAACTTTAATTTTTAATTTAAGTGTAGATCAAGGAGTTTTCCCGGATTTAATGAAACATAGTAAAGTAGTTCCATTACTTAAATCAGGTGATAGCACAGAACGCAATAACTATAGGCCGGTCTCTATTTTGCCAGTGCTCAGTAAAGTGTTTGAAAAGTTGATACTTACTCAAATACTGCGTCACTTTAACGCGAATTCTATTTTCCATGACCAACAATACGGGTTCACTAAGGGGCGTTGCACTACGGACGCAGGAGTATCGCTTATAAAACAAGTTTTCAAATCGTGGGAAAAAGCACAGGATGCCATCGGAATATTTTGCGATCTTTCGAAGGCTTTTGACTGTGTTGAGCACGAAACACTATTACTGAAGCTGCAACACTACGGCATTCGGGGGGTATCCCTAAATTTATTAAAGTCATACCTTCTAGAAAGACTACTTACAGTTCAAGTAAACAGAGTAAACTCCCAGGGTGCTAGCGTATCTATGGGCGTACCGCAGGGCTCAATATTGGGTCCATTCCTATTTTTGGTTTATGTCAATGACCTGCCCCATTTATTCCAAAGTGAACCGCATATGGTATTATTCGCTGATGACACATCCTTGATTTTTAAATTAAATAGACGATCAAATACTATGACGAAGTGAATAATGCCTTAATGAAAGTTCATAATTGGTTCACAAAAAACAACTTAGTACTTAATGATAAAAAGACGAAATGCATTAGATTTATTTTGCCAAATGTTAAAAGTAACGTATGCGATGATGTATTATTAAATGGTCAGAAACTGGAATTTGTAAAGGAGACCACATTCTTGGGGATTACTGTAGACGACAAGCTGCAATGGGGGCCCCACATTAGATCTCTAGCAGGGCGGTTGAGCTCGGCAGCTTATGCTGTCTGGAAGATCCGTCAGCTAACCGACGTAGGCACGGCACGACTAGTGTACTTTAGCTACTTTCACAGCATCATGTCGTATGGAATTCTGTTGTGGGGACAGGCATCCGACGTTGAGTCTATCTTTATCTTACAAAAGCGTGCAGTCAGAGCTATCTATAACTTAGGTCGTCGCGAATCTCTCAGAGAAAAGTTTAAGGAGATCAACATTATGACCGTACCATGTCAATATATTTATGAAAACATTATGTATGTTAGGAAAAACCTACAGCTATTTGTAAAAGTATCTGACAAGCATGACTATCTTACTAGACATAGAAATAGATTAAGTCAGCCTTTATTTAGATTAGCAAAAGTGCATAAGTCGTTCATGGGATTATGTGTTATATGTTATAATAAAATCCCAACTGAAATACAAAATCTTAATGAAAGTAAATTTAAATTATGTATAAAGAAAGTATTATGTAGGAAAGCATACTACAAACTAAATGATTATATAGAAGATAAAAATGCTTGGAGCCACCCTGGTTTGACTGCACAGGATAAAAATTGTTAAGGTTAAGAGGAATTTTGATCTCAATTATTAAATTATTCACCATGTTGTTAATTGTTGATAAACTGGATTTTTGTAAATGTGAGAGCCCTGTAACTTATTATAATTGAGTTAGACTTATAGACTTATAGTATATTGGTACTTGTGTCAGTTGGGAGTTGTCATGCTCACTCAGGAGTCTCATCGGCGGTGGCACGGGCACTGGACCGCTCGGTTCCCTATAATATGGTTGAGTTGGGCGGTGCTGGTGTACCTACGTGTCATGTTCGTGAACGGACGCCGCCTATTGGGACTGGTCAACTCGAGACTGTCTAAAGTTGCTGTCCCTGAGGGTTATTTCTTTTTCGGAT